TAAAAATTTAATGAAAAAAATTAAAAAATAAACTAATTCTCTTTTATAATTGAACTAGTTTGAGAGTGGGATGGCTGTCATAGTGAGGATATACTTTGTCTTCGTTTTGTGCCCTGTAGATTTTTACAACCCAGTCAGCACGATCAGGAACTTTCTTTCTTCATGTCATTTTAGGTTGTAGTTCCCCCACTCCCTGGGAAGGCATTTTTGCGTCAACTTCCTTTTAGAGGAGATGATGGAATATTTGATGACAGTTTTATTGAAGAAAGGAAGCAAGGGCTGGAGCAGTTTATAAACAAGTAAGTGCTTTCTACTCCTCAAGGTGTAAAAGTGAACAGTGTTTTGAGACTACTTTAGGAAACTACTAGTAATTTAGATGTTAAGCTAAAATGTAATATTGCCTTTCCTTTTGACCATTTCTTAACTTAAACGGAGTAAAAGTATCTGACAAGTTGAATATCATGTGAGATATATTAAACACACTTGGGTGATTGAAATATCAGTATCTTTGTGTTGACCTAAGTTTTATATTTGTTTTTCTTGGTTAATATATGCAAATTACATTTAAAATTACAGCATTTATAAAACAGTTTTACTTACGATTCTTTCTGATTTAAGGTATGTTCTAGAATGAACAATAAAACTTACAATACACTTGCAATCATTTTGTGTGATTGCAGATGGAAGTATTATCAGCATGTCTTGTGTAAATGTGCACATTTACAATTTTCATGGCAAAAATGTATTCTTTTGAAAATATAAGACTTAGGATTGTTTATCTTTTACTTTAGAAACTCTTGATAAGCTCAAACCAATATTTTCTAGCCTTAAAAAAAAAAATTCCCCTTTGAAATATGGCCATCTTTAAAAAGCCAAAGTAATAGGAAGAGTTATGCCAAGAAAAGGTTCACTGAAATTGTGCATTAGCTTTAAGTTTGACCAAGTAAAGTAAAATCCTAGAGAATATGGTTGTATGAGCTGACACTTTAATTTTTATCTAGTGATTTGAAGATCTGTGAGTGGTAAACAGAAGAGAAAGGTTACACACGAAGCCTTAAATTCGTGGTTATTTACTGTAGGACACCACTTTCATCTGTCTCTATATTAACATGTTTTCCTTTTAGAGAAGACAATGCTATATCGGATGTTTTTAAATTCTGAAATAGATGTCTGGTTTCCTGTCTGGTTTGTGTTTAGCCTGTGATGGAAACCTTTAAAAGAAAGCAAAAAACAAAACTGAAGGGAAAAAACCACTTCAACATTTGTGCCTTTTATCTAGACAATGCTATATCGGATGTTTTTAAATTCTGAAATAGATGTCTGGTTTCCTGTCTGGTTTTGTGTTTAGCCTGTGATGGAAACCTTTAAAAGAAAGCAAAAAACAAAACTGAAGGGAAAAAACCACTTCAACATTTGTGCCTTTTATCCTTTTATTTTCCTTTTCTTTTTTTTTAAAGAAAAAATAGATATTGCAGAAGATGTGTCCATTTCTTAGTATTTGGGGCTTTTATTGAACTTCAGTATATTTCTAACTCCAGACCTATATCTTCTCTTTAAAATGGATTCTTAGAATTCATTGATGCATTTCACTTTTAACATGAAAATTCATTTGTTTCTTAAGAATATATCATCTAACATGTAAAGAATCTAATTGGATATGCATGCCAGAAGTAGTACAAAGTTAGTCTGGGATTAAATGTTTTCTAAATTATTCTTGTAAACTAAAGAGAAGAAAATATACTATTAATTGATAGAGCATAACTTTATGGGCAGTCCAGAATAATACTATTAATAAATTATACATGCTTTCTAACCTTAAAATATGTGTTTTGACACCCTCCCCACCACCACCACTTTTATAAAATACTGGAATAAATTTGTATTTTTTATTCCCAGGGTCGCTGGTCATCCTCTGGCACAGAATGAACGTTGTCTTCACATGTTTTTACAAGATGAAATAATAGACAAAAGCTATACTCCATCTAAAATAAGACATGCCTGAAATTTGGCGAGAAGGGGCAAAAACGTGACTATTAATGATTCATATACACCAGTAAAGAAGTTCTGACCAACTTTTAGCATGCTGCACAGAAACTGGTATAACATGCCTTCAGTATACTAATACTCATACTCTGTTTTCTTTTGGCAGTTGACAAGAAGTTAATTTACTTAAGTGTAAATCCCTCATTCCAGCCTTTCTATATATAAATAGCTCTTCCTTGCTGTTTTAATGTGGTACACACTATAGCTTCACAAACCTGTTACTCCATTATAATCTGCAGTGTTCTAACTAAAGTTATCAACTTGGTCTTATTTGCACAGATTTTGTGTCATGTTTGCTGCTTGAATCTGATTAACTAGAATATTTCTCTTTCCCCATTTTAATATGTGATGTCACTTGACCCAATTTATGTGTAGGAGCACTACACCACTGTTCCAGTACAGCACACATAAGATACACACTTGTGTGCAGAAAAGAATCTTCCTTTAGGCTTGTAATACCCTTCACATGGAAAATTAATGAGGGAAATCTTTATATTCTGTATAAAAACAAAGTCAAATTTATATACTAAAATCATTTGTCTAAAAATTTAAGTTGTTTTCAAATAAAAATTAAAATGCATTTCTGATATGCACTGATTGTGTTGCCTCTGGCTTTTCTTTTCTCCCTTGTGGCTTTAGTACTTAACTCACATGTTGAGAGGGATTATTTACTAATTATATACTTCTCGTCCCTGTAACTTCATTCCTCCTTAAACAGTGGTGATATCAAATATGCTGCCACCCTTTGAATGGGGTATTTGCTTTTAAACAACAAAAAAAGTGATGTGCTAAGAATAAAAAAAGCATTCCTTTAGGCTTACTGAGTCATTATGCAGCACTTTGTGTCTGTGAAAAATGCTTTATAATCTCAAGTCATTCTTTAAAAGGTCTTTTAAGGTAAATCAATACCATGCCTCCTGTATTTCAGAATAATTTCTTCTTAGTTCATCTGAGTGACTTGTTTAAATAAATTTAGCAAGGGTGTAATAATCTTTTACTTAGTCAGCAAATTATGCTTTCTCTAATTTGGCTTGGTATAGTAGCACACTTTATCCTCTGTACGTAAGGGAAAGGGGCACAGTGTTTTAGCCTGAATTGTATAAATGATAAGAAAGTACATGACTCCTTGCTGCCTGACTTGTTTTGTGGCCAGATCTTTGCAACCAGAATGTGGTCTCTAATTTAAATCTGTACGGTCTCTAGTGGTTTAGGGACCCATTGTGACCTGGAGTTCAATCCCAAGGTAAGGAAAGTTTGTCCTCCCACTCCAGAGCAAAGGGATCAGTTCATTTGAGAGGAAACAAACTTAGGTCTTAACCTAACATCCTAAAGTCGGATGTCTATCAAGCAGATTGGAAAGCATAGGAAGAAGTCATGGCTGCCTTATAAAGCCTTTTGTTACTCAAACAATATTTCACAATTCCATATTACTGGATATTTCAGTCACTATAAATAAGAAGGTACATAGCTAAACAATTTGTAAATTTTATTTGAGAGAGCTAGAGGAGTAAAATCAAAGGCTGTCAGATTTTGGTATGCAGAACAGAATAATGGTAGCTCTGCTAAACTGAATAATTTCTCTAAAGCAGTGGTTCTCAACCAGGGATGATTCTTCCTCTCAGGGGACATTTGGCAATGTCTGGGGATACTTTTGGTTCTCAAAACTGGGGAATGTTACTGCAATTTAACTGGTAGAAGTTAGGGCTGACCTGTTAGCTCAGTTGGTTAGAGTGTGGTGCTGATAACACCAAGGTCCAGGGTTCAATCCTGGCCAGCTGGCAAAAAAAAAAAAAGATGCTGCTAAACCTCCTATAATGCACAGGGCAGCTTTCCCCAACAGAAAAGTGTGAAAGGTGCCGAGGTTTTCACTCTCCATGGAAGTCTTCAAAAAAAAAAAAAGATGCTGCTAAACCTCCTATAATGCACAGGGCAGCTTTCCCCAACAGAAAAGTGTGAAAGGTGCCGAGGTTTTCACTCTCCATGGAAGTCTTCAAAAAAAAAAAAAGATGCTGCTAAACCTCCTATAATGCACAGGGCAGCTTTCCCCAACAGAAAAGTGTGAAAGGTGCCGAGGTTTTCACTCTCCATGGAAGTCTTCAAAAAAAAAAAAAGATGCTGCTAAACCTCCTATAATGCACAGGGCAGCTTCCCCCAACAGAAAAGTGTGAAAGGTGCCGAGGTTTTCACTCTCCATGGAAGTCTTTTGATTTTGTTCACTTGCAGACAAGGGAATAATTTGCTTTCGGATGGATTGTACTGACCTGCTTACTTTTAACCTCTACCACAATTTCCTAAGGGCAGGCATGCTCTTAAAAAGTAAAAGATTTTAAACTAGGCAAAAAATTGCTTATTCCAGAAACATATTTTTGCCCAATGTAGGATGGTAATGTTTTTTCAGTGTTGTCTCTTAGGGAAGTGAGACCATGGGTTTATAGTAAAAGTACACCTTTAACCCTCTGAGGTAAAAATGCAGGTGTTCTTAATCTAACCACACATAGGGAGGGGACTCTAGAAACCCTTGAGAATCTTCCTAAAAGAACAGAAGGTAGTTTGGCAGTGAGTCACGCAGCAGTGGATGTGAATCCTAAACTGTCTCAATCTGTGTCCACTCTGTAAGTGCCTTGACTCAACTCCTGCCAGTTGTAAAGGGCCAACATCAGTGGTACCTTTAGTAACTTACAGGTGTTGAGGATTAAATGTAAAATCCATAGAACAGCAGTGTCTAGGACATGTAAAAGATTTTAATCAAATAGTTATCTAATGGCAGTGGCAGTCTACATGGATGCAATCGTAGTAGCAGCAGCAAACGGTACCACTAAGCCCTGTTAAAATGACCTCTTACACATTTGCCATGGCAGTTCCAGAATAGCTTTATTTGGTATTTGGTTTCCTCTGGGAAGTTCTGCCATCATGGCCCTCAGTAGTGATTATGACCTGGGGGAAGCGGGGGAGGTTAGGGGAGGAGCATCTCCTTTTTATTACATCCTGTGGCTTTTCAACCTCTTGTTACAGGCCACTCTAGATTAAAAGTACTCCTGTTGCCTCAGCTTGTTTTGCCTATTTTGGTTACGGAGTGGTGGTGAATATGCCCATGAAGGGAGGCAGCCAGCCCCAGGCCTTAAACATAAAACGTGTTTGAGGTACGGATGTACAGATAGAAAGCTTGGCATACTGCCTGACGTATAGATTAAGTGCTCCATGGGTGCTAGCTGCAGTGATTAACAATATGCAAGTGTTTGGGCTGGGAAAGGAGTTAAAAACGTTTTTTAGGACAACAAAGAATGTAAGTCATCTTCAATATTTCCACTGTGATCCGTATTACAGAACTTCCCTATGAAGTAGGTAATATTCCCCTTTATAGCTGAGACAGCTGAGGCTCTGAAAGCTTGCGTAATGTGCTCACGATTACCCAGGACGGGATGGCGCTGGATTTAGACTGTAAGGGTGTCTGATTCTCAATAGCCATCCATGCCTTGGCCTACTTCCTCCTTGTGGACAGGGCCTATGGCTTTCAGTACATTTATTGAGTGAAAGTGTTGGAGTGAGGACTGAAGCCATGTTGGGACCTAAAACCACATGGGCTGTAGGCATATTTTAAAAAAGACTGGTTTTTTTCTTAGCCTGCATTTCTGAGTTTGTTCTTTTCCTATGGTTATTTGATATTTTGAACCTCGGTTATCGGGCAAAATAACATAATTCACATAAATGTAAAGTTGTTTTCCAGCCAGCCTGAAACTGTAAACTTGCAGACCCTGGGAAACCAACAAAGACATCAATAAAGTTATGCTGATTGCACCCCTCCAGTAGCAGGATCCTGAAAGAAGGATGAGAGCAGAAACCAGCTGGTGTCTTGGCTATGACTTGCACCTGGCTCCTTGCTTCAGCCCCCCCCCCCCCCCCTCC